GGGTTAGGTTGTGTTCTGACCCAAAGGGATAATGTGATAACATATGCGTCGATACAATTGAAAGAACACGAAAAGAACTACCCCACTCATGATATGGAGTTGGCATCGGTAGTATTTGCACTAAAGATATGGAGGCATTATCTTTATGTCATGAAGTGAAAGCTTTTCACTGATCCTAAGAGTCTTCAGTATCTATTTGATCAAAAAGAGTTGAATATAAGGCAACGACGCTGGCTAGAGTTTCTTAAGGATTACGATTGCTAAATACTTTACCACCCTGGTAAAGCAAATGTCGTAGCCGATGCTTTAAGCCGAAAAGTGAGCCTTGAAAGGAGAAGACCTAGAGCGTTAAGAATTGAAGTTGTCTCAACGATTGTGGAAAGCATCAAGAAAGCTCAGGAAGAAGCTTCATAGAAAAACGACCGAAAGGAAGAGCGTTTGGGCAAAACGCTGGTGTTTGGTACGAATAATCAAGGATTGAAGGTATTCCAAGATAGGATTTGGGTACCTAAGACGTGAGGAATAAGAGATCTTATGATGGAAGAAGCTCACAAGACCATGTACTCGATTCATCCCAGCAGCACAAAAATGTATAGGGATCTAAAACCGTACTACTGGTGGCCGACGATGAAGCTCGATGTTGCAAAGTATATGGCCGAGTGTGTAACATGTGCGAGAGTTAAGGCACAACATCAGAAACCGTATGGGATTTTAGAACCTTTACCTGTACCCATGGGTAAATGGGAAGACATCACCTAAACTGCCCAAAACAAAGGACGGTCACGACATGATTTGGGTGGTCGTTGATCGGTTTAATAAGAGTGCATACTTCATAGCAGCTAGTGAGAGATGGTATATGGATAAGCTTGCCAATGCTTACGTGAAGGAGGTAGTAAGACTTCACGGTGTTCCTTTAACGATTGTATCAGACCGAGATAGTCGTTTCACGTCAAGGTTTTGGAGGAGTCTACAAGAGGAATTGGGTACGAAATTGTGTTTAAGTACAGCTTACCATCCGCAGACCGATGGTCAGAGCGAAAGAACGATCCAAACATTGGAGGATATACTAAGAGCATGTACCTTGGAATTTCAAGGTAACTGGGATGAGCATTTACCTCTGGTAGAATTTTCTTATAACAATAGTTACCATTCGAGCATCAAGATGGCACCTTATCAAGCATTATATGGAAAAAAGTGTCGTACGCCGTCTTGTTGGCTTGAAGCTGGAGAAAAGCAGTTTATGGGCCCAGAGATAGTCCATCAGACTGCTGAAAAGCTAAAAGTAATTAGGGAAAGGATGTTAGCAGCTCAGGATCGTCAAAAGAGCTATGCTGACAAGAAGAGACGACCGGTAGCATTCGAGGGTTGGAGATTCAGTTTTTCTTAAAGTCTCACCGTAGAAGGGACTTATAAGATTTGGGAAAAGAGGAAAGTTGAGTCTGAGGTTCATTGGACCGTTCAAAGTTCTTCAGAGGATTGGGAACCAAGCTTATAAGCTAGAACTACCAAAAGAACTAGATGGTATCCATAACACATTCAATGTGTGTTATTTGAGGAAGTTCACGGGAGAAGTTCCCGACATAATTCCAATTTCAGATTTAAGGATGGATGAGAATAAGAGGCTAATCGAAGAGCCCGAGGCAATTGTTGAGAGTAAGACGAAGAAGTTGCGACGCAAGATGGTCGACTTAGTGTCTGTGCGATGGAAACATTCGAATGGGCCAAATCTCATCTGGGAAACGGAGAGTGACATGATGAGTCGCTATCCACATTTGTTTGCTGATGCATGATTCCGAGGACGGAATCATCCTAAGGGGGAGAGAATTGTAACGCCCGTGTTTCTGGTTTTAGCACTAATGATGATGTAATAGTCTAGGTCAACCATTGTAACCTATTTTAAAGTAATAAAGATGAATTACTTGAATATTATGTGAATTATGTGCTTTTGTGTGCTTATTACTTGTTTATTATATAATATAATAAATAAGGATCAAAATAAGAGTCAAAAATAAAATGTTCGATAAGCCCGATATCGATGAAGAAAGTTGTAGTGGTCGTGACAAGGATTCCGGAGACATAAAGAGCGCCGAAATCTGAGTTTTAACGAAGAAGTTATGGCCTGCCGAAGTTTCGCGACAGAACCGGCACGTCACTGCGTGACGTAAATAGTGAAATTTACGATAGAGGAAATTTTAGCCCTAACAATCTAAATGAAAGCCGTAATGTTCGTTAAACCGAGAGTGTGCATAAAAAGAACGCCCAAATCTGACTTCGTATGAGGAAGTTATGATTTTACTAAGTTTCAGATCAATAGTGCACAACCTGAAGTTCGAATATTAGATCGAGCGGTTTTTGGCCCACACAACCTAAACGAGAATCGAAGATCTCGTTAATAGTAGCGCAACGGTAAAAAGACAGATGAAAGCGGACGTCGGATGAAGAAGTTATGAAATCTTAACAGGCTTTATTGTCCCGGTCTGTTAAAGAATATAAATTTAAAATCGGTCAATAATTAGCCGATGAAGTCTAAACGAAAATCGTAGAGTACGGTCCCTCCTGCGCGTGGATATAAAGAACGTCGAAAATGGATCTCGTATGCAAAAGTTACGAATTTTAGAAGTCGGAGGTGCAATTGCGAAGCTGGATGCGAGGCTACGCCCCGCGTACACCGAAGGTACACTCAGCGGTTTGACTTTTTCCACGGTCTGAAGCCAGCCACGTCGCCCCACCGAAACTCCGACACCTGCCCTTACGCGCAGCGTACCACCGAGGGTACGCCCATCGTACTGCGAGGCCTCAACCTATAAATAGGGGTGCGAGGCAGCCCCATTTCTTACACCATTTCAACCATTCTTTCTCACTCCTCTCTCTGTCTCTCTCTCTCTCTCTCTCTCTCTCTCTCTCTCTCTCTCTGTGGCCAGCCTAATCCACCCCGAATCCTAGGAAACCTCCCTAGCATTAGAAGAAAGCCCCGGAGCGCCCGAAGACTCTGAGAAAAAGAGTTTTTCAGTTTGAAACTCTGCCCGCGCGCAGCCCGGTTTTTAAGCAAACTTCCCGGTTTTGTCAAAGAAGATTATTTTAAGAAGCGAAGTGTTGTCTGAATCACTCCTTATCAGCTGAGTGTATAGTCACTTTCATCTTACACATAGATATGAAGTATTTTACGTGCTATGTGTATGTATATATTATCTATTTACTTGAGATCTATGCTGGATGACAGATCTGAACCTCTTTCTTTTCAGATCTAAACTTTTTTTCTTCAGATCTAGACTTTTTCTTTCAGATCTAAACTTTTATTCCAGATCTGAACCTTTTTCCTTCAGATCTAGACTTTCTCACTTCAGATCTAAACTTTTCAGATCTAAACTTTACATGTATGTTTTATACTTTGAGATCTATGTTGTATGAAAGATTTAAACTTTGTTTCTCCAGATCTGAACTGTATATGTATTTTATATATTCAAATATGTTGGGTAAAACATTGGTATATGAAATAGTTGGTGTGTGATGAAATAAAATGATGAGAGGCCTCGATGTTGACGTTGATCCAGTCATCTAGCGGAGTATGGATGAAGACCACATACTTTTCTAGGAAGTCCAGTGGAACGCTAGCAGGCTCGTAACCTGTAGGTTTTTGTGAACGATGTGTTCACCGGTGTACTCCATCCCCTTGCCTTACGAACACATATGGCTGAGGAATCCTCTTAGCAGTAGTGTCCATCCCAATGAAATTCTTTAGGATAGGTTCCTTATGATAGATGTTTTAGGGACGTAAGGTGAGGATAACGGGAACGGGTAATCGGGTTTAATGATGGTTGGAAATAATAAACTTATTTATTGTGGGTTGAAAACCCTATATGCTCACCAGGCTCCCTAGCCTGACCCACTCAGTTTCTTGTATTACAGATAGTGGCATAAGCATAGTTGGATGACTTGATGAGAGATTACGGATTTTAGGCTAGTAGAAAATAAATGGAATGTTGTAAGGCCTATGTTGTCTTGAGGCCAGATTGTGTTTTGTGGCCTATGATGTTTTTGGTTTATGCTTATGATCTGTATCGATGATTGACATCCCGAGTTTTTGTAATGTAATGAAAATACATTTCTTTAATAAATGCGTTGATGAATTTTTATCATATTTTGTTTTGGGAACAAATTCCGCAACATTTTTTTTAGAAGTTACTCTGATTTTTATTAAAAAACATAAACGAAGTCGGTCTTTTCTGGCCGTAAAAATGGGGATGTCACATATTATTATCAATAGAGTACAATGAATCATGCATAACATTGTTATATCCTTAGATCTACGGGTGTAGTCTTCAAGACAATTGACTTTACCATAAAAAAGGCTTAGCGGCGCAGCTCGTTGGCCGTTTGTAATCGCACTCGTTGTACAATGATAGCTAAGATATATTATTATCAATGAAGTACAACGGATCATGTATCACAATGTTATATCCCTAGATCTATAGATGTAGTCTTCAAAAGAATTTGTTTTAGCATACAAAAAGGTTTAGCGGCGCAGCTTGTTGCCCGTTTTCCATCTCACTCATTGTAAGATTATAACTAAGATATATTATTATCAAATAATATTTTCGATCCATTTGACATTTTTACCTAGTTTTTTACTCATTTATCTTGTTTTTTTTTTTTTTTTTTTATGAACGGGTAACACACAACCACTAAATCTTACTCCTAGGCTACTCTATTGTCCAAACATGACTTGAACCCTGAACCTCTTAAATGATTGACACATTTCCAACTCCTTGGCACCGCTAGCCAAAAGCTCACCTCTTAAATGATTGACTCATGTCCAACTCCTTGGCACCGCTAGCCAAAGGCCCTTTGATATATCTTGTTACTATTTGTTAAAAATAATAACTTAAATCAGTCTACAACATTATTTCTTTTTGTTATAAATAAGATAAAGTTAAATCGATGTATATCAGTACAAATCAACATTAATGTCATCAAACTATATTAATTAATGTTATTTTTGACTTGTTTTTTCTCAACTACATACAGAATATCCCTCCATCTTCCCTATAAATTTATCTCTTCATTTGGAAATTAATTTACAATTCACAATTTCATCTTCTTATGCTGCGTTAAGCAGTTTCGCTTCACATTCATCGTTGGGCTTCAGCAGTAAATTGCCATGGAGTTACAGAGAATTTCATCACTTTTGATCTTAGCTCCATTGTTATTCATCGCTACCATTGCTGCTTGCTCCAACGGAACATGCAAGGTACATCTCTCTCTCTCTCCCTAAATTTGAGTCGAATTTCCGTAATTTTCTGCAAATTTTTTTGCAATCTTCTGTTGTTTTCTCAATCAACAAATGAAATTTAAGACCATAATTTGGATGTAGTTACTGGATGATTGTGAAACAGACGGAGATTGCGAGGCTGGACTTTATTGTTTCTCATGTCCTCAAGGATATGCAGGCTCCAAATGTGTTCGATCAACTGCTACACCTGTGTTTAATCTTATGGTCAGTATCTCTTTCCTTCTATCTCCAATTCTTTTTACCTAGAACACCGAAGGAAAGTGAAAAGTCGTAAACGATTTGACTTCTGTGTGTGTGTGTGTGTTTAGTGTGTGAAATCAGAGGGTTGAGTTGAAATCTTGATCAGTTTTTTGTTGGCGATTTTCGTGTGAAATTGTGAATGTATCCATGGATATTTGTTAGAATGAAACAGACAGATGATCACGTGTAGCCATGGACCTTAACTACAAGGACAACTTATAGAACCCTATCAATCAATTATCAAAGATATTAATTTGATACAATTATGTAAATGATTGATTTTTTTTTTCTTTTTTTTTTCAATTAAGATAAAGAAAAATTATTATATGTTTTTTTATTGATGTCGGGTAAGAGATTGAATCTAAATCGATCACATTTTTGATATCGCATTTAGAAGCTTTTAATTCGACCTCGAGGTTGTATCTATCTAAACTCAATTACACTAATTTGTGTACTCCCTCCTCCCCAAAATTATTGTCCACAGATAAAAAAAACACACAGATTAAGAAAACATTAATTACTATTAACTTTATTCAATGACAGTTTTGTCCTTACTTTGCATTTAATGGTCAATTAAATGTTTATTTTGTTAAGTAATAATAAGGAAATATTTTGATAAAAATGTTATTTATTTTTAGAAGTGGACTATTATTTTGGGACAAACCAAAAAGGAAAGATGGACTATAATTTTGGGACGGATGGATTACCTTTTTTCTATTAATAATTAAACAATAGAATGTCCATATGTTTTGTTTAGTTACGTATCCTTATATGGGAATTTAGACACCACATATTGTTGCAAGTATAATGATGTCATCTCCGAAAATTGAAATAAAAGTCAAGAAGTGGGTTAGGTCACTCTCACTCATCAAACTTCTTGAACAACTGAATTGGCTGTATACCAAAAAGCAAAAACAAACATTTACAATGGGCTCATAAAATAAACTTTATGGGTTGGGCTTTCCTTTTTTAATCTTAAATTCTTTATGCACAATATATTTAAATTTAATTTAACTAAGTTTTTACCTTTTATGGTTTTATTTTGTTTGAATGATTGAAAAAACAGAATAATTCGCTCCCATTCAACAAATATTCCTTCTTGACAACACATAATGCCTTCGCAATCGACAATGGAACTATACGATCGACCCCTACAAATCAAGAAGATACCGTTGCTCAACAACTAAATGTAAGAATTAGACTCATTTATCTCGTTTACTTTATAAATTTTATGGGCGCAAAAAGCTACAAAATAACAAAAATAAATAAATAAATAGCATTTTTGTTTGTGATCTTATTTTCTTGTTTATCAGCGAATAATTTGTTGATTATAAAATCTTACTTTCATTTATTTTAATTATAAAACTGTATTCTCCAATATTCTACTTTGAAAAAAAAAAACTATTATAACCTTGCATCATCCTTTTTTTTTTTACTTATTACGACAACTATAGTAACGATTTTTTTTAACTGGATGACAATGTTATACTTGCTTTACAAAATTTTCTATGTTTTTTTATTAAATCAATTTATTATATAGAATCTACCTAATTATAACATTGCATCTTTTTCTTATAGGGTAGTATACTTCAGTTAATATACTTAAATCATCACAGTAAAATTCATTTCCATTTCGAGGTCATTGTTATATATAGGTAGACTTTTAAAAATGCAAAGCGGTATTAGGAATTGACGGATAGGTGTCCATCAGCCAAATGTTAAGGGTTCAAGTCCCGTTGTAGACGAAATGTGTAGATTTTGAAGTAGTGTAGTGTTTGTGTGTGTAAGTTGTTCTAAAAAAAAGGATAAAATAAAAGTAGAATGTTATAATAAACAAATAACTGAAACTACATTGTTATTTCTTACATTTAACCCAATTTTATCATATTCTACAGAATGGGGTGCGTGCTTTGATGCTTGATACATATGACTTTGAAGACACAGTATGGTTATGCCATTCTTTTGGTGGAAAATGTTACGACGCCACTAAATTTGTAAGCATTACGCTCCATTTGTGTTCATATATTTTACACAATTGTTACAAGTTTATTAAAAAAATGTACATGATGCAATGTGTTTACATGTCAGACGCCAGCCATAGATACTTTGAAAGAAATCGAAGCTTTTCTATCATCAAATCCAAAGGAAATAGTGACAATCATTCTAGAAGACTATGTACAAGCACCTAACGGTTTGACCAAAGTTTTTACAGACTCGGGGTTGAAAAAAGTATTGGTTTCCGGTAACAAGGATGCCAAAAGGTGGCCAAGATTGGCCTTTGGTTAGTGACATGGTGGCTAAAAACCAAAGATTACTTGTTTTTGGCTCTGTTAGATCCAAGGAACAAAGTGAAGGAATCGCGTACCAATGGAACTACATGGTCGAAAATCAATGTAAGTTGTTATTAACTAGGAATAGCACACCCTCACGTGTTGTAGCAAATTTATATATGTATAATTAGCAAAACATAATTTACAATACAAGTTGTAAAAACGGATTAATCTTAAAGAAAACATGCATAAAAAAGATGTAAAAACAGAAAGATCTTTAAAAAATTTGCATAAAAACAAAGATGTATAAAAGTTGTAAATAATTAGTTATTAAAAAAACCAATTTTGTAAAAGTAAACTCATAAGAAACAAAGATGTAAATGTTGTACAAATTTTTCTAAAAAAATATTAAATTTCAAATCATAAAAAAAAACAAAGTTGTAAAGAAGTTGGGAAAATTTTATAAAAAATATTTGGTGAAGATATTAAAATATGTTGTAACATAAGATGTAAAAAAACAAAGTTTAATAAAGAAGTACGTTTTTTAAAAGATATAAAGCACAAAGTTCTAAAAATTAGAATAAATTCGTAAAAATAATTTGATATGGGGATAAAATTGTTGGTGTATGAAGTCTTGTCCAACACATAGAACACTTGGAGTTGCAAGTGAGTATTAGGAATCACAAGTAAGCACTTGGAAGTACATGGAGCATTCAAAAGAACATGGAGCACCAGAAATCAACATGGAACACTTAGAGTTCATGGAACATGTGGCAAAGGAATGGATCATCTGAAAAGGGAATAGATCATCAGACAAAGGAACTGATCAAACGACAAAGGAACAGATCTTCTAAAGGGGGGGGGGGGTATGGAACACCTAGGAAGGAAATGGAGCATCTTGTGATGCTTCATGATGGAGGTGCGCCACATGTGTTCCTTTATTAAACCATGATATCCTTTGATGAGACACTCGGGGAAGATGCTCATGGATGATGCTCGTGGAAGATGCTCACGGATGATGCCCATGGAAGATGTTCATGTGATGATGCTTATGGGTGATGCTCATAGAAGATGCTCATGCGATGATGCTCACAGGTGATACTCATGGAAGATGATCATGTATGATGCTCAGGGAAGATGCTCATGCAATGATGCTCACGGGTGATGCTCATGGAAGATTCTCATGGATGATGCTCATAGAAGATGCTCATGAGGTTGAAGATTCCAAAAGCGCCCACACGACATTCTGTGATTGGTTGAAAATTAGGGCATCCCCTTTATGGGCGAATTATCGAAGGGTCTGACACATCAAAATTAAGGTTTTTCACGCTTGCCTATAATAGGCTCATATCCCTATTCATTATTCTTTTCACGAGTGTGTGCGAGTGCGTGTACGCCGTAATTTCAAGAAAGCAATCATTGTGAGGTTGAGAGCACATTCTTTGGAGCAGTTAGTAAGCAATGAAGTTTCTTTTGTTTTGAGAGCTTTGTGTGTGATTGTAATTGTTCGTAGAAGCTTAATAAACCCTCTCTCTCTCTCTCTCTCTCTTCTCTCTCTCCTCTCTCTCTCTCTCTCTCTCGTTTGCCCGTGGATGTAGGTCACCTTGACCGAACCATGTTAAATATGTGTTTAGTTTTCATTTAAGTTTTTCAGAAGTCTTATTCCACAAGTTTCACCGCAGGTTGTTTGACATTTGTCAAAAGTGCTTAACTTGTTTTGTTGTAATCCAACAAAAATTGTAAAAAAATAAATAAACAAAATTCGTAAAAATAACCAAATGTTGGGCTAAAACTGTAAAATCGAAAAAAAATTGGGCAAAAAAATGTAAAAAGATGAATTTGGATGGGTAGTTATGGGTTAGACTGAGAAGTTAGTAGGGATGAACATTTGGACCGGGAAACCGGTACCGGAACCGGAACCAGATGGAACCGGTCGGGCCGGGACTGGGACGATATTCTTATGGATTTTTGGAACCGGGAACCGGTATAACCGGCAAAACCGGAACCGTATGTTGTTATTTTCTCGATGACCGGTTCAAACATTGAAGACACGGCAAGAACCGGTAGGAACCGGGAACCGGTAGAACCGGCGGTCCGGTTCGGTTTTTAATTTCGGCCGACTTTGGTTCCCGAGCCGGTTCCAGCCGGGTAGGTTCCTTTGCTCATCTTTTAGGTCAAATCCGGTTTTTTACCGGCAAAAAAAATGCAGGGTGAATCGAATTCGAACCCTAACGTCCCATATGACAAAATAAAGTTCATGCAATCAGGGGCTACACATCATTTACATTGGGATATCACATAGAATAAATATGTATATAATAATGCAAAACGATTAAAAAATTATTAAAATCATCTTGTGCTATGAACTCGTGACTTTCCAAGAATTAAACGGAAGAAACATTGTAATAAAACTCATTAATATCTTTCAATAATTCAGTGTTTGTGATGAACAAAAAGTATCTCTAATATTTACTAGAAATTTGAGACTGTAGTCTCTCCATAATCATCCCAAATAAAAAAAAATGCCTAACTTATCCTTCCACAATCAAAAATATTCTTTATTTGTTGAATTCTCCTATACCCCTGCTAAAATGTTGGACTTACACAGATGCATAGCATCTTGTGATACGAGATCTTTCATTTTGGTTATTATAATGAATACCATACAACAATATCACTAAATCTCTAATACGTAAACAACAATATGAACATCCTAATAAAAAGTAACATGCTACTTTGCCCTTTTATTTTGTTTATGATTTATACAAATCTATTGTGTTGATTATAGATGGAGATGGTGGAATGAAAGCGGGTGAGTGTCCAAATAGGGGAGAATCATCGCCCATGAACGATAAAACAAAATCACTTGTTTTAGTGAACTACTTCCGTACGCTTCCTATAAAGATGTTGGCATGTGGTCAAAACAATGGTGGTCTCTCAAACGTCACCAAGACTTGCTACACTGATTCGGGAAATCGTTGGGCCAATTTTCTCGCTGTCGATTTTTACAAGGTACCAAAAAAAGTATATAGCTAATATTTCATTTAGAACAGCTTACATACGCATTCACTGTTCTATTCATAAATCTATATCTTTTGTCCACAACAAAACTTGAACCCTTAACCTTTGATTGAGGATCATCTATCCGTCAACTCTTGAAATCATTAGGCAAAAGAGCCTTTGGTTTTTTTTAGTTAATGGATTTAGTGGATATAAAAAATAATACAAATGTTTTTTTTAACTTGATCCGGAAAGAACAAATTAATAAATACACTTAAGAACATGAGGTTTTTAAGTCCTAACATTTTTTAAAATTGTTCTCTTAATATATATTTTTTGGTTATATTTTTCCAGTGTGGCATTATTTTTTAAAGGGTGTGTTTGGATCGTTTATTGAAAACAACTTTATTTTATGAAAATGTTTATTCACTTAGTTGGTATCAAAACCGAGTTTATCGAAAAAAATTGGATTAGCTTATGAAGTATCACAACATTCTAGAAACTGATAAGTTGGTTTTTAGTGTTTGGAAAAATATATTAATACATATAAAATGACCGAAAGTTGACATGGGTAAAGTGGTAAATTGGCATGTGCATCGTTGTTTAAGAAAAAAGAAAAATAAGGCTATGGTCCATCTCGTTTTTTAGGGTTAAAATAAAAAGAAAATTGGTTACCACATATAATAACATTTTTCAAAAAGAAAACTTACCAAATAGAGCTTATTTAAAATAACATGCTATAAAAAAGTTAATAAACATTTTAAATAAAAATCTCTCTCTCTCTCTCTCTCTCTCCTCTCTATATATATATATATATATGTTTAGGTTCTATGGAAAACAAAAAACCTTAAAAAAAACCCTAAAAATCATAAAAATGCATAAAAAAAATACTTAGAGATCACAAAAAATATTTTTTAATTTTTTTTTATAAAATCGCAGGTTTTTTGTGAAATTCGCTGAAAAAAAAAATCAACTTTTTTTTTTTTTTTTTAAAAAAATTTTATTTTTTTCAAAAAAAATTTCATCGATTTTGTATAAAAAGCTGCGATTTTTTCAAAAAAAATTTCAAAAAAAAGTTTTGTGATCTCTAAGTATTTTTTTTATGCATTTTTATGCATTTTTAGGGTTTTTTTTGTTTTCCAAATAACTCTTCCCTACATATTATATATATATATATATATATATATATATATATATATTATATATATATATATATATATATATATATATATATGGTGAGGTTCATAGAGAACCATAATTAACCAAGGAACCAAGAAACTCATCGTGAGCGTCGGAAATCATAACGATCAACGACCAAGGAAATAGATATACACTTTTACATTGGACACACACACACCGGATTATACCAAATCCACCATTACAAAAAAAACTCACCACTTTTTTTCGTTTAAAATTTTTTTTAGGTCTGTTTTTTATCAAAAAAACCGAATATACCGTTGTTCACGATTTTTCGTCCTCTTTCCATAGAGATCCATGATGATATATATAAAAAACGAACATTTTTTTTTCGAAAAAAACCCACTTTGTTTTCTTTAATGAAAAAAGTTATGGTCTATTTTTTATAAAAAAAAATTAATAAATATACAAAATTCATATTTTTTGTACATTTTAAACATAGATTCATATTCATGTTTAAAAAAACGATATTTCAGTTCAAGATATTGTAAACCGTCAGATTCACATTGTGAACCTCCTCCTCAGATTCACAGTGTGCATAATAATAAGTCAGATTCACAGGGGTGAATCTGAACTGATCGGAGCTTTTTTCACATTGTGAATGTTAAAATTTGAAATATTTACAGTTTAAATTCACAGTGTGAATCTACACTGATCGAGGTTTTTTTTTTTTTTTTGTGAACCTTCTTAGATTCACAGTGTGCATAATAGTAATTCAGATTCACAATGTGAATCTGAACTGTTCGAGATTTTTCATATTGTGAATGTTAAAATTGAAATATTTACAGTTTAGATTCACAATGTGAATCTACACTCTTCGAGGTTTTTTTTTTTTTTTAATCGGTGTTGATGTTTATTAATAGAGTACAAAAAATTAATATTTTTTGTATAATTACTTTTTTTTGATAAAAATAAACTTAAATATTGAAAAAAATAAGAAAACAAAGTGGGTTTTTTCGAAAAAAAAAAGTTCGTTTTTCATATATTATCATGGATCTCTATGGAAAGAGGACGAAAAATCGTGAACAACGGTATATTCGGTTTTTTTTTCGATAAAAAACTTGGCCTAAAAAAAATTTTAAATGAAAAAAAGAAAGTGGGTTTTGTTATAATCCGGTACATGTGCGTCAATTATAAAATTTTACAACCCTTCCTTTTGCAGTTGATCGCTTTAAATTCTGACGCTTTGGATTAGTTCCTTGGTTCCTTGATTAATAATGGTTCTCTATTAAACTTTCCATATATATATATATATATATATATAGATATATATATATATATATATATATAATATATATATATATATATATTCTAAAACTCATTTATAATTATGATGTTTTATTTATATATACATGGTTTGATGGAATTTTGTTTGATTTTATAGAGGAGTGAAGGCGGAGGAACATTTCAAACCACTGATTTGTTAATTGGAGAGCTTTTATGTGGTTGCAATGATGTGCATGCATGTGTTGTAAGTTGAATATTCGATTATTATCATGTTTAAAGTTCTGTTATTAAAAGTGGGGTTATTTTCATAAAGTGACAACCAGTAATACTCAATTTGCTTTTTAAGCCGCTAACCTTTTAATTGAACTCTACATAACGATAGACAAATTTTTGAATTCCCATTGCATCGTGGATTTCAACCGGATAAATTATATTGACTCCTACTTGGTGTCACTAGTATCCAAATTGCAATATCATATAAACTGTTTATTTATATCTACCAGATGGTATCATGGTGACATTGTGTTGGCATTGATATGGAATCTATTTTAATATCTAATATGTCATAATTAACCAGTTGAAATCCACTCTAATTGTGTAACGCGAACCCAAAAAAAGGTTACAACTAAAAGATAAATTATCCAAAAGCATACCGAATCGGTTGTCATTTTTTGACATTAATCCTTAAAAGATTTATTAAAGTTAACCACAAAACTTTATGTATTTTGCAGCCAGGAGGAGGAAGTTGCGCATCTTGCACGAAGTTTACTTGCGACTAAATAAGACCACATTAAGGGCTTCCATGGCATCAATACAAGATATATTAAGAATCGTAGTTTTCCATGGTAATTAATATTTATCATGATTCATGTAAACATGTTTTTTGTGGGAAACTATAAATTAAAAAGAAAAAAAATATTTTCATTTAGATTGTTAGGACATGAAAGTTTGATTTGATATGCGGAATAATAATAACAAAATCAACACAATGATTTGTGTGTTAAAAGACATTATCGATCATAGTGAGGTGTTACAAAAAGGAACTAGATCAAATCTAAATAATTAACTCAACACATAACTCTCAAAGATTACATCTCCTAAGCACACTCTATAATGGATATGACAATTACTATTTATAAAGATACGTGTACAAGTCTCTCTCTCTCTCAAGTTATAAGCTAAAAACCCATATGTTTAATAGAGTCTTCCAAGTCTTCTCTTGTCATCCTTCATAAATAAGCATTCCAAATCACTTTTATGCTTCCCAAATCTTTTTAAGAACTCACATTCAACATTTGCTAATGGCATGAAGATGAAAAGTGCCATGTAACAAATCAAGATCAAAATTCTCAAATCAAACTCGATCAAGAAGAACCAAAATCGAGTCAATAATGCACGTAATCAATCACAAGAAATAAACTCTAATATATGCTCGTCGATACACCAAATATACCCGACTTCAATAAATCTTTTTCAAGCTTCACTAAAAATCATCATGTTGAAAAGTCACAATCTTTTTTCGAATAACCATACCAAATTCCCCCATTTTACAATCGAAAAATGATTATAAAACCTTCAAATAGGCATGAGAATATGCTCGAATCAGACATGTCAATGGGAAAATCTCCCTTGATATGTGGAATAACTGTGAATCTTCAAATCCGAAAAAGTCGAAAAATATGACAATTTTCAAAATTTAAAGTGTCACGTAACAATTCAAGATCAAGATTCTCCATCAAACTTGATCAATAAGAACCAAAGTCGCGACAATAATTCACGTAGTCAATCGCAAAAATAAACTCTGATACATGTTTATCGAGACACCAAAAATACCCGACTTCAATAAATCTTTTTCAAACTTCACTTAAAATCACCATGGTGAAAAGTCACAATCTTCTGTCTAATGATCATACCAAATCCCCCCCCCCCCCATTTATAATCAAAAAATGATTATAAAACCTTCAAATGAGCAAGAGAATTTGCTCGAATCAGATAATGTTAATGTGAAACACCCTATTGATAAATGGAATAAACATGAATCTTTAAATATGAAAAAGTCGAAAAATATGACAATTTCCTTTGACTTGTGTTGGAATCCAATATGTACTGTTCACATGATATATTCTTGCAAAAAAAATCCAAAAATCCAAATCTGACTATCCCGAAGGTCATCCCCAAATTGTAAACGTTTTCTGAACTAACCCAGAATTGTTACTTCTTTGAAACCCCATGGATCAAATGTGTAACTTGTCATCTTCTTCACATTAAGTATGGTAAGATGAGAAAGGAGTTGACCAGGTATCTTTTGTTACTAAGATGAGAAAGTAATTGACTAAGTATCTTTTGTTAACGAAACATGAACATAATTTCGATTTTTCCTGAATTGAAGTTGATTCACAGTCTAATTAAACCCAAAATAGATTTCAACCCGAAAGTGATAAAATCCCAAAAATCATTTTCATCAACCCGAAGTGGTGAATCTTAAAGCCAACCTCTCAGAGTTATTATTAGAGCAAAAAGTAATACCAAGCATTCGTTGATCTTTGTAATCATGAAACACTATGAAGCATCTGAAATAATCAAGTCTAACGATAGCATACCAATTAGAATACTGAATCACAAATCATTCCAAACATGAAGCAATCTAAACAAGTTCAAATCAGTTTGAACCCAGTACTTCGACCAGCCATCGGAACAAAAGTTCAAGTATGAACTGATGAATCACTTCGTATGAAAATCGTCACTTGTGAAACATCAATTTTAAGTATTCAAAAACTTCTTTAACTAATGAATATTCAATTTTGACTATCACTTCATCACATTGTCAAACAAAGCGCATCAGAACATAATCGCCACCATCAGGACACTGATTTGTAAAAAAAATTATGATCTTCAACCCAACACAATCACAAGAGGGGTCACATCAATTCAAAAAATTTGAATTAAAATTCTTTATGAAATCTCAATAACAGCTCACCACGTGTCATGTCAAGCCGATCCATATCTATAGCTACTTTCTTTTCAAGCATCTCGATTTTGGAGACTTCTAGGACGTTCCACAACTTTATCCACAAAGTCAACGAAAGTCAACGTTGACTGTGTTGGTCCAATCGACTCAACTCGAACTCGCCAAAAATATAAGCTCCTCAGCTCCAAATAACCGATGTGTCGTGTAAAGTGCCAAGTGCACCTAAATCACATCATTTTGTGCACTCGCATCAATAGCTTGGCTAGGTGTGCATGTGTGGGCTTGGCCTATCTCTTGATCCACTTAAAGCCATTGATGACCTATCAAGAGAAAAGCCTTATAAACCCAGAAATGTTTCTTCCCCCACCAATGTGGGATAATGGGAAAGATGCCAACTTGCACATCCCACTATAATTTCCCGCAATCCCCCATTAGGTTGGAAAGTTTACTCTGACAGATGATGTCGCTTGGGTGTGATGAAGATTAAACCCTTTGTTTGTGTAGACAAACATGAGGATATCAATTATATGGTATCCTTATAGGTTTAAACCAAGAACCTTGGGACCTACCTGGTTTACCCCCACACATCACCTGCCATCTTTGCGCTCTCACTGAGCGCTAATATGATCACGTAGTAAAATTCTTTTCATGACCCTTTACAAGATAAACCACTAATATTCATTTGAGGCGATACCACCTCTAAATCATATAGATAAAGTTTACAACATCGTCATTGCTTAGATGTTTACAAAACTTTTTTAAGAGCTTTAACTCAACCTCGTTCTTGGCAACAGCATAATACCTCACATGGATCGATCATTAATGATAGTACCTTCTATCGTTTGTGATTTCGGTGTTACCGGTTAAACTTGAGAATTAGGAACACTAGGATTTGCATCACTAAACGATTCTAGTGTAGTTTAGACCCATGACTCTCGTGGTCGATGTAACCAAATCTCTCGTCGGAGGTTTAGTAAGTGGATCTACCAAGCTCCTACTTGTCTTCAAGTAAATAAATTTTATGGTACCATTCTCAATTACTTGTCACACAAAGTTTCGTCGCAAACCTACATGTCTTTACTTCCCATTATATACTGGATTGTATACTTTAGACAGTGTGGCCTCACTCACACAGTATATAGGTATAGATGGCATTGGAATATCCCACAAACGAATATCCAAGAGTAGATCTCTAATCCATTCTGCCTCTTTGTATGTTGTTTCTAAGGCAATTAGCTCAGCTTACATCATTGAATGAGCTATACATATATGTTTCTTTCTCACCCCAAAAATTTAGCACCAACAACTAGAGTATAACCCACTTGTGGATTTTGAATCAATGGTGTGATCTATCCAATCTATCATCGGAATAACCTTTTAGTATTCTGGGAGATGACGAATATGTCAAATCAATAATCATTTTCCTTTTCATGTATCCTGGTACTCTTCCCACTACCTTCTAGTTCTCCATCCCTGGATTAACAGTATACTTACTCAATTTTCTTACAACGAATGTGATATTAGGTCGAATGTAATGTGTGACATACATCATGCTCCCAATTTCACTTGCATATTCCGGTTGAGCCACTGCTCGACTAGAGTTCACTTTTAGTTTCACACTTGAATCCAAAAAGAGTTTTGAGTTCCTTAACATTCAAATGTTGAAACGTTTTCAAAATTTTCTCTATATAATGATATTATTGACTCTGAGAAATCTGACTACATGCCCTTTTCACCTCGATGCCAAGAATTGTATCAACTTCTCCAAGATCTTTCATCTTAAAGTTACATGATAGGGATTTCTGTTGGATTAGGTGTCTAAGCCCATAACTATAATTGGTATGTAATTGACCCGATAATAGCATGGTCCTTTTGGGTTGCCTTCACCATAGCAATTTGATAGGATGGATTTTTGAGAAAGAGGTTATTTGTGGTTTATTGATATATTATATGAATAATATATTAATTGAGAAATCATATTATTTAATTTGTATTGATCAAGAATTAATTTGGAATTAATTTAGTGATCAAAAGAGACTGATTAAATTAACGGGGACTGATTAGATAAATCGGTAATACATATAGTTGGGCTAATGATCCATGTTGATTAGGGATGGACTAAATCTATGTGAGGGTCCATGAAGATTTAGTCCAAAGGGCCTATCATATGGATTATTGGATTACTTAAAGGCTTAAGTAATGGATTAGGGTTTCAAAGTGTAAAACCCTAGGAATTCCACACTATAAATGTAACCCCTAACCTCCTTAAAACCGGCCAACACTTCCAAGATGAAACCCTAGCCGATTTTCGTACCGCTTAGCCTCTCTCTCATAATCCTCCATTTGCTTTTGTTGTTTGTGACTCGTTTGAGATATCACATTTGAGGTACTAAGCTCTTGAAAGGCCAAGATTCACAAGCTACAACAAGAGGTATTCATCTAACTAGATTTTATTTTGTAAATCTCCAATTGTATGCTAGTTAGGGTTGATGCTTTGGATTAAATGAAATTGCATGTATAACTTGAGAAAACTTAGATCCAAAGCATTTAGGGTTTTATGTGCACCATAGGATTGTTATAGTGCTCAAAACCCATCAATGGTATCGGATACTAGGGTGTTTTCTGTTATATTGATGCAATTGTATTGTTTTCAAAGCTGAAAAAGTTTCATTTTTTGCCTCTGACTGCTGGAATCGACGAGTCCCGCGAGGGAACTCGATGAGTTGGATAATCTGGTGATGAACTCGACGAGTCCATGCCATGAACTCGACGAGTTGGATCATCTGTTGACAGTTTTTTTTCGAGTTTTTGGCCTGATTTGGATTAGGATGATTACCACAAACTGTTTTGACTTATAAAATTCGATTTTTATGATAAGGTAATGATTATCCTCATCCAATTGAATGATTATTGTCAAATTTTAAGATAATTACTTGATTTTGTGAAAAAATAATTATTTGTAGAATTTGATTTGAATCATCTTGCT